CTTACCAATCACCCTCTTCGACAGATACTCCAGAGTCCTACACGTCTGGACGAATGATCAAATGGGCGATAGCATTGGGTGAGTTTGACATCTCCTACCAACCAAAACCAGCCGAAAAAGGCCAAGCAGTAGCAGATTTCATCGCCGACTTCACATATCCTGTTGACATTGCTTCTACACCTAAAGCAGTAGCTTCATTACCATCGAAAGCTCAGAAGATAGAACCAACAACCCCAGCATGGAGTCTGTATGTTGATGGCTCATCCAACCAACAAGGCTGTGGAGCGGGACTAGTCTTGACTACGCCCGACAAAGTAGCAATGGAGTATGCTCTTCGTTTCAAATTCAAGGCATCAAACAATGAGGCCGAGTATGAAGCCCTTCTAGCAGGATTACGTTTGGCCAAACACCTCGGGGTTAAACAAATTGATATTTTCAGTGACTCCCAATTAGTGGTCAACCAGGTTACCAACAACTTTGATGCTAAGGACAGCTCCATGGCAGCATATCTTGCGCAAACACAACTTTTGCTCAAACACTTCCACTACCAGATCACCCAAGTTCCTCGAGCGGCAAACAGTCATGCAGACGCCCTGGCTCGCCTCGCCTCAGCTGTGGAAGACAAGATTGGAAGAAAAATTNCTGGAAGTACTTTTTCTCCATCCAGGGGTGGTATCTTTAACCGATGAAGATGCACAAGGTAATGTATCAATTTCACTTGAAGCTTAGTTGTAGTTTTGGGCTTGGTCAAGTGCGATACAAACCCTATAGTAGGAGTCCCCTAAGTCGCCGAGCTAGGAGATTTTCGGAATGAGGTAACAGACAAGGTAAGCAATCAGACTTCCAAGCAAGCAACCTAGATCGGAGGTTCGACTTCAGCTTCCGGTTGATTGTTCTCCTTCTTCTTGTGTTGTAAACAGCAACAAAGATAAGGAGAAGCAAATGGAGAATAAATGATATGAGATACTTTTGCTTTTGAAGAAGTAACTTTCCACCAGTTTATTCTTGAACTGGGCTGGAGGGTTTTCTGGTTTCCTCTAGAGTATAAGGCTGACTCAAGAATTTAAGGGTCAAAACAAGTCCATCAAATCTGGAGTACGTTCGACCCTGATGATATGGGATACTTTTGTTGTTGACAAAGTAGTGGATGTATCGACACGTGTTCTGTTACGCTTGTCTCCACATGCTTCCTTGTATCCTTCTCACTTGCCCTATCTGTTCCTCAGGCAGATATGGTATCTTCTTTGGAAGCATAAGATGTTGAAGATGAGTACTCAAGAGCAATGCCAGGTAAGTAATCAGGCAAGGGGTTACAGGCAATCAGTTTCTAACTGGAAGCTTGATTCCAAGTGCTGACTGATTGCTCTCTTTCTCCTTGTCTTACAGGTAAGAACAAGGCCAAAGGAAAAGACAGGGAAAAAGCATGATATGGGATACTCTTGCTTTTAACCGTGATGATATGAGATACTCTTGCTCTGGTGTGGCTTGTTTGCAGAGGTATTATGGGGAGGAAAAGAAGCTGAGTATTTCGAGAAACTCTGCTGAGAGTGCCCTCTCGGATGTGAGGAAAAGTTGAGCATTTTTTTTTATTTGCAGGTCTGCCTGGCTATGGAGGATGAAGGTCGACATATATAAGAGTCTCCTTAATAACAAGTAGTAGTGCTATTCCTTTACCCTTCTTGGTCATAGCAATGTAGTGGGAGCTGCAAGCTTCACGTGTTTTAACTTTGTCAGAGCACTTTGAAAAACTGGTATGTGGTATCTGAAAAGCTGATGTTGCGTGTGAAGATTGCAGACAAGCTTTATCCAAGGAAATCTGGCTCTCGAAGTTCGAAAAGCAGTGCCTCTTCGATTTTTGAACAAGCAATCCTGTCAGGGATCTTACTCTCGAGATTCAGATAACGGTGCCTCTTCAATTTTTGAGAAAGCAATCTTGTTGGGAGTCTGACTCTTGAGATTCGGAGAACAGTCGATTTTTTAGAAAGTAATCTTATTGGGAGTCTGGCTCTTGAGATTCGGAGGGTGGTGCCTCTTCGATGTTTGAGCACGTAATCCTATTGGGAGTCTGGCTCTCGAGATTTGGAGAATGGTGCATCTTCGATTTTTGAGAAAGCAATCTTGTTGGAAGTCTGACTCTCGAGATTCGGAGGGCGGTGCCTCTTCAATTTTTGAGCAAGCAATCTTATTGGGAGTGTTTTCTCGAATGTGAGTAAAGGTTTGACATTTTTGCCAGTCTGCCTTGCCACGGAGCATGAAGGTTGACACACATTGAGACTTTCTAGTTATCAAGCAGTGGTGTTGTTCCTTTACCTTTGTGGGTAATAGTAGGGTAGCTGGACCTTCAAAATTTATATGTCTAAACTTTGTCAGAGATTTTTGGCAAAGTTATCTGTGGTACCCGAGGAGATGATGTTGCATGTGGAAAGTGGTCTCTATTCGGAATCCGGAGAGTGGTGCCTCTTCGATTTTTGAACCAACGGCCCTGTTGCCTTTTCTTTTATAAGGGCACCAATTTGTGCTAGAAGTACATTTAGAGAGTTATTGCTTGTAGGAATTTTCCCCTTACTTCAGAGATTTATTGCACCTCATTTCTCATTCATCATTTCTGAGAATGTCTGGCTCATCCGACCATTGTTTTGACTTGAACTTTGGTGAAGAGGCAGCCATGCCTTCTTAAGACAACATATGACGCCCATCTTTCTTATCCCCTACTGGTCCTCTTACCGTTGGGGACTCTATGATGAAGAATGATATGACCGCTGCGGTGGTGGCCAGGAACCTTCTCACTCCCAAAGATAACAGACTACTTTCCAAACGGTCTGATGAGTTAGCTATTAAGGATTATCTGGCTCAAAGTGTTCAGTGTGCAGGTTCTGTGTCTAATATGGCCCAACGCCTATTTGCTCGAACCCGCCAAGTTGAATCATTGGCAGCTGAAGTGATAAGTTTCAAACAGGAGATCAAAGGGCTCAAGCATGAGAATAAACAGTTACACATGCTCGCACATGACTATGCTACAAACATGAAGAGGAAGCTCGACCAGCTGCAGGAATCTAATGGTCAAATTTTACTTAATCATCAGAGATTTGTGGGTTTGTTCCAAAGGCATTTATTGCCTTCGTCTTCTGGGGCTGTACCGCGTAATGAAGCTCCAAACGATCAACATTTGGTGCCTCATCTTTCTGGGGTTCTGCCTAGTACTAAGGCTCCGAATAACCACCCTCTGGTGCCTCCTAATTCTGGGGCTCTCCCGACTACTGAGACTTCTCCTGAGCAACCTTTGTGAAGGCTCCCTCTTGTTTGTTTATTTTGATTCATGTATATGTACATATTTGTAACTTATCGGAGATATCAATAAACAAGCTTTGCTTCATTTCAACGTATTATGTTAAATACACCAAGGCCTTCTTCATTAAGTTCTTTGAATTTTTCCTTTTGTTGAATCTTGTATGTTGAAGCTTTATGAGTGAAGCCTGTATGTTGAGGTAGTGCTCCCTTAATTTCCCGAGTGAGGAAAACTGCTTGGTTGGAGACTTGAAAAAATCCAAGTCACTGAGTGGTCATGAGACTTCTGAGTATCAAGGTACAGTAGCATATGGTAGGAGTCCCCCAAGTCTCCGGTCAAGAGAGTTGACGAATAAGGTGTCTTGCTAGTAGCCAAGTTTCCAAAGTAACAAAATTTCACCATTTTCCTTTCTAAGTGGCAACCCAAAACTCCGAATATATATTTATTTTTTTTTTTCAAATAAGAGGAGCCTAGGCAATTTATTTATTTATTTATTTTTTCAAATTTTCAAATTTTTGAATTTTTGAATTTCCGAATATATATATATATATATATATATATATATATATATAAAGCTTTGTAGGTGAAGTTTTGAGGTTGAAACTTTGTTGGGTACCATGAATTGATTTTGCTTCACACTATCTTGTCAAGATAATGTGAAGCTTTTGAGAATTTGTAGTTGTCCTCCATTGATGAAGCAATTTGTAGTTGTCCTCCATTGATGAAGCTTTTGTTGGTGAAGCTTTTGTGGTGGGGGAAGCTTTTGTGGGAGAAGCTTTTGTGGTGTGAGACTTTTGTGAGTGAAGCTTTTGTTGGTGAAGCTTTTATGGGTGAATCTTTTGTAGGTGAAGCTTTTGTGGTGGGTGAAGCTTTTGTGGGTGAAGCTTTTGTGGTGGGTGAAGCTTTTGTGGGTGAAGCTTTTGTTGGTGAAGCTTTTATGGGTGAAGCTTTTGTAGGTGAAGCTATTGTGGGTGAAGCTTTTGTAGGTGAAGTTTTTGTGGTGGGCGAAGCTTTTGTGGTGGGTGAAGCTTTTATGGGTGAAGCTTTTGTAGGTGAATGATGATGCACAAAATCAGTGAGGACTTTGGTACAACAGAAAGTGTTAAGTTTGTGACATTCGCTAGATTGCTCCGGTTACTAGTGTGGATAAGTATGTAAATGGATATGGACAGGGAAGCAAACACAAGATATACGTGGTTCACCCAGATTGGCTACGTCCACGGAGTAGAGGAGTTCTCATTAATTGTGAAGGGTTTACACAAGTACATAGGTTCAGGCTCTCATTTTGTGAGTACTAGTGAATGGTTTAGTACAAATGACATTAGGAAATATTGTGAGAGAATGATCTCTATTTATAGAAGAGAGTTTCTAGTTTCATTCTGACATTGACAAGTGTCGTGTTGTGATTAGCTTCAGATGTTGACACGTGTCGCGCTATGATTGGCTTCTGATGTCGACACGCGTCGAGCTGTGATTGGCCTCCTGGTTGGAGGGAAACTCTTCTGAGTCCTTGACTGTATAACGTTGACCGGTGCTCAGTAGTTTCGGGGATTGGTCAAGTATGGTACAAACATACTTTAATCTTCTCCCGGGTCCCCAATTACAACAAAAATCAGAATTGTATAAATATTAAGAACACAATGAAACTGAAAAAATTATATGGTTCTGGAAGGTATACAAAAAGTTTCCCCTTCTTTCGTCTTAAATTTGTTTTGCAGCTTTATTTCGGCTCAAGTTTCATTTTCTTTCGTCTAGGAAATTTTTATAGCCTGAAATTTCAATGGAACTGAAATAGGGAGAGGAGGACAACCCAAATTTCTGAATGATCCCACTGCTTCTGGTGTACGAAGATATGAAGATTTGCCAATTGATGAACACAGAGGAGAAACAGATTTACCTTCTTTCGATTTAACCACCTTGGTAGCAGCCACAGAAAACTTCTCTTATGCTAACATGCTTGGCCATGGCGGCTTCGGCATGGTATATAAGGTACTTCCCCTAGAACATTTTGAGATCTGTGCATTATGTGGCTTCGGCATCTCTGTTGTCATTAAGATTTTCGAGTCTGCACCATGATTTCAGGGATGTCTAGCTGATGGACAAGAAATAGCTGTTAAAAGATTATCGAGAAATTCAGGACAAGGCATAGACGAATTCAAGAACGAAGTAATGCTTATTGCAAAGCTTCAGCATAGAAATCTTGTGAGGCTTTTGGGTTGCTGCATACATAAAGAAGAGATGATGCTAATCTATGAATACATGCCAAATCGTAGCTTCGACTTATGCATTTTTGGTATGCCATCTTTACACACTGCTATTAAATACTTTAAGTTTTCTGACATAAACCCTGAAATTAAGAAATCATAAACTTGTAGATAATAGAAGCTTTTATGTGTGGTGTTCAGATAAAAACGGAAATTCGTCGTTAGATTGGAGAAAAAGGTTTCAAATTATCATTGGGATTGCTCGAGGCGTCCTATATCTTCATCAAGATTCGAGACTAAAAATAATCCACAGGGATTTGAAAGCGGGCAATGTTTTACTCGATGGTTCAATGAACCCAAAAATATCAAATTTTGGCATAGCAAGAATGTTCGGGGATGACCAAATTGAAGCAAACACGAACAAAGTTGTTGGCACCTAGTAATTGTCTCATCTCCCTTGAAAAAAAAAATTCAAGTAGAACCAATATTTTTTTTTACTCATATTGTGTAATTGCAGCGGTTACATGTCACCGGAGTATGCTATGGATGGGCTATATTCCACAAAATCCGATGTGTTTAGCTTCAGAGTCTTGACACTAGAGATCATTAGTGGAAGGAAGAATACCTTCCAATTTGAAAACTCATCTCTAAATCTAGTTGGACTAGTAAGTAAACAGATAATTTTTCAACCGATGAATCTAACTTTCGAGTAGTCCAATGATCTAAACTTTGTGCTCAAAATTGTTTCAGATATGGGGCTTGTGGACAAAAGGAAAAGTCTTGGACATAATTGATTCATCATTGAACCAGTCGTATTCGACTCCTGAAGTTATGAGATGCATTCAGATTGGGCTCTTGTGCGTTCAAGAATACCCAACAGACCGGCCAACCATGCTAGATGTTGTGTTCATGTTGGGGAATGAAACTACTCTTCCACGTCCGAAAAAGGCAGCATTTAGCTTGAAAAACAGTGGTCCGGATTGTTCAACGTCTAAAGAAGCTCCTTCTGTAAATGATGTAACAGTAGCAGTTATTGAAGCTCGTTGAGTTTGCACTTTGCCAGTTCTTGTAGAGATTTTGTGTTACTTCTCAAGTATTTGTACTCAAATCGAGATTCCTTGTGTAGAGAAGGCAATGCCTTTGAAATTGTCGATTCATCTCTGGACGGATCGTACCCTATCAACGAAGTTGTGAGATGTATCTAAATTGCCCTCTTATGTGTGCAAGAGTATTTTGGATATTATACTTTAATCCAACGGCTAATAGGTCACTATAGTTATGGAATGTAAGTAGGATTAGAGTTTAACTTGGACTCCAAGTAAAGATAATATTCCGGTTATTCTTGAAGAATAAGAGTTCTTGATACTATCCTATTTGGATTGAGGTTTGGTAGATTATTTGTTTGTACAATAAGGCATCCTAATGACATCAGAACAGAATCCTAATGACATCATTATGGGATTATGCATTCAGTTTTTTTTTTTTTTTTTTTGAATAAACAATATTATTTACACTAAGAGGTTGGGAGTAGGGTAAGCCTCAAAATGGGGTTCAAATTCACCTTTGACAATAATCAAACCTTAAACCTCTCAATTACCAGTGAAGATCGGAATATTACTAAACCGTAGTAAGTGACGAGAGAATGCATTAGGGTTAAGTTAGTATAAATGCTAAACATAGGTCCCTGCACATACCTCTGAAACACAACTCAAAAGAATTCCCCATAGGTTTGAGGTATACTGACACGCCCCAACCCAAATATCCTAATGATACCTGCATGGCACGTGCTGACCGACACTCGGAAGTGACGAAAGCCATAATTCCATACAAGCACAAGAAAATATCAGCACCTGAAGATCAAAAATAATAAACAATAACAAGATCCTGAATTAAACATAAGGGTATCGGAAAGTTCAATGATCATAGATTCGAAACAAAAGAAATACAAATATGTCCAGAGCATACTACTACACGGAACTACAAGTGCAAATAAGAATTCAGATTACAATTCAGCAAGAAAATCATACCCAAATGGAAGAGCTCAAAGTCACTGGTAGGGAAATACCTCGACACTCGGGTCGTACTCCTCGTCACAAGGTCCTAAGTGGGCACAAAACAGAAAAGGTGAGTGGACCATAGTTATATTTATACTAATACTATTCAAACCCAAATTCTTTCTTAACATAATAACCCCCTGCTTTGAAAACAGATATAATACTACGTATAGGTTTTTCTAAAACTCTAGCATGCTAGAAAAGTTTGTAACCATAAAATCATCTCTAAAACATGCATCTCGAAATGCCCGAAGGCAAAACCATAAATCCCATCAAAGTTGTATTCTCTAGGGGTATCATAGTCGCCCGAAGGCAGTACCTGTCCATCGTCCGAAAGCGAAGCTGTACGACACTGGGTTACGTCAGTCAAGAAACATGGTAGGCCCCATCACCCGAAGGTGAAGCTATACTACTCCGGGTTACGCTGGAGAATAAACTCTATAACATCTCACATTGACACTAGTTGTGACTAGTGAAGCTGTCCGACACTGCTTTTGGCAATGAAACTAGGGGTATAACATATATCCCACTCCTCCTCATCACAGTGTCCTATGACCATAGACATCTAATACCCGTGTTGTGTGGATGTGTTGTATGATAACTCACTAGATATATATACCCAAAATATAACTCAAATCTCAAAGCTCAAGTCAACAACTCAAATCATTCTCATAAACCACAAATCCATAATATATCATAAATCCGCAATATCTCATAAGGCATAAAAGAAATAGTCGTAAACCTTTTCTAAGTGTGAAATCAATAGTTATAACATTTCATAAAATGTAATTTAAATAAATCATAATATAGAAATTCGTAAAGCAAAGTATAATATAAAACGTATTCAAATCAGGTAATATGAATTTGCATGCTAGATGGTTAATTATAAAATATACATTTGATAAGGGGTCCACTCACAAGTACTCCGCTCTCGGGGAGCTGCTCGAATTAGGGAGAACTGGATCATCTTCCATCGGTGCACCTATACACAAAATAGAGACTATTTAATAAAACGCTAAAGCGATTGAATTTGTGAAAACGGAGTGTAGATTTGGAATCAGAATGTCGAAATTAGTCTAGAAGGGTCCCGATCGAAAAACTCGAAAAAGTCGACGGTCAACGTTGACCATAAAGTCAACGGTCAATGGGTCACAGTCAACGGGTCAAATGGGTTGGACATGTTTGGTTGGGTTGGGCCGAGGGTCTTTGGGCCGGGTTAAGTAAAAGGACTTGGGCCTATTTTAATTTTAAGTTTTGGGCTTATGCTATGAAATAAAAGGGCGGGCTTAGCCCGTTGTGGGCTAAATCATTTGGGCTCTGGGCTGAGTTGGCATGCGGGTTGGGACGACACGAGTTACTCGTGGGTCACCGGACCCATCGAAAGAGAACACCGGCTTTTTGGCCGGAAATTCTCCCAACTTCGATCTGGGGTTAAACTTGCTGAAAAATCACAATTCAAACATTAAACAATGATGCTGGAACCTGTCGGGTCAGAATTGGCTTGACCGTGTCAGAATTGGCCGGGATTCGTCACGAAACCCGTCGGGTTTCCTCGCCGGATTCTGGAAAAAGGAAACAGAGTGCATGCATAATAAATCTCAATGATCTTCCACCAAAATTCACATGCAACAAGGTATCTAGTGACCTAGGGTCGTGTCCAATTGATTTCGATTGTCAACACCCTCAAAATCGCCGGAAAAAACCACGGGTTCACCGTCGACATCTGAGACCAAAAGAGTAGGTGCATGCAGAGAGTTAAACCCCAGATTTTTCCACATAATACTCGTCTAGATGGATTAGAAACCAACACAACCAAGAAGGAAAAATAGTTCATACCTGCGATGACAATTCAAGAGAGTTCAAGCTCTCAGTGTCAATGGCAGAGTACGTAAAAGTGCACAGATGCCACATGCAACCTTACAGGTGAGTTCCCTAGGTCCTAAAGATTCGAAGTTCAAGTTTCTAGAAGTTGGTTTGGTCCTTCTCGGATATAGAGAGTGAATGCAGAAAAGAATTAGGAAGAAGAGAGAGTGTTCAGATAGTGGGGGATCACGGGAGAGGGAAGGAATAATGGGTTGGGTTTTGGGCTTGTCACAGCCCAAAGAACTGGACCAATTTGATAAAACCCAACACATGGGCAAATTCGTAATTTTACACTTAAATTTTTACGGTGGGTTGTTACTAGGGATGGGCAAAATACCTATGGGTTTGGGTAACCACGGTTATCCGTCCATTTAAAGCTCACGGTTATGGTTATGGGTAACTGTTTGGATGAATAAACGGTTATGGGCATAACTGTTTATCCGTGAAATTTAAATGGGCGATTATGGGTATTACCCACGGTTATAACGGGTATCCATCAGTTATGGTTATTACCCGCGGTTATAACGGATATCCATTTACCCATTTAATTTAATATATGTAAAATTAAAAAAAAAAGTAAAAACCCTAAATTTTCAATCTTTTCATGAAACTCAGAGTCTTAAACGCCCCGTCCCCGCTCATCTCTCCCTCCTTGCTGCCCTCTCTCTCATCTCCGAACCGATCCCAAAAGTTTCGGCTTGCGATTCGGCCACATCTTTAAAAGTGTTCGGTAATCCCGAACCAACCGAATATTTTATATATATATATATATATATATATAACATAGGCATATATAAAATTAGAAGGCATACATGATACTGAAGCAGAAAACTATATATTATATATATGTAACATAGGCATATATAAAATTAGAAGACATACATGATACTGAAGCAGTAAACAAAATGTTAAAAGGGATTTCGGGTTTAATACAGCTCTTCCAAGCAACTCTGCCCTCTCTCTCGCTTATGTCGCCCTCTTCTGATTCCTCACATTGTACGATTCATACCTATCAAAACTATCTTTCAAAGACTGAGACTATAACGGTGTTTAATTGTCAGAAAATAAAAATTATGACAAATTTTTCTTTTATAATTTTCAAGTTGTTAAAAAAAAAACATGTAGAGGGTGAAAAAAGGGTAAATGGGTGAAAAAGGATAAACGGGTTCAAAAATAGGTAAACAGGTAAACGGTTATGGTTAAATAGGTAAACGGTTATGGGTATGGTTAATTGTTTATAAACGGTTATGAGTATGAGTATAATCGTTTATGTAATTACCCAACAGGTAAACGATTATGGGGGTATGAATATAAACGGTTATGGGTAAATAACCGCGGTTACCCGCCCGCCATAACCGTTGCCCATCCTTAGTTGTTACCTATACAATGGTGGTGAGTGTGCAAAAGGCCTTGCTTGTGTTCTTAGTGTGTTCGTGTGCTTGCTGCAGTTCGTGGCTTGCTCTGCTGTCGAAAATGGTTTCTCCAGGCTAGTATTTTCATGCTGTTTTTATTCACATGCACATATTAGGATTTACAGAGTATGCAACTGAGCGAGCGGCCAACAATGTCGGCTGTCATTTTCATGCTATGTAATGAAGCAGTAGCTTCTTCAATAAAACAACCAGCATTTTTATTAGAGTTGTAACAGTGGGGACCCATCACCACAGTATTGAAGGAGATAATTCTGTAAATGATGTGACTTGTAGTAGCGTAGAACCTCGCTAAACTTAAAACTCCTGAGATATTCCTAAACGTTGTATGTTAAACTACTATTGGTAGCAGCTTGTAAAAGGTTATTAACCACAAAAATTTTGCTTCTAATAAGTAGTTCCAATTTTCTTTCTAGTGCATTGACATGCGGGACGTCAGAATTATTGGTCTCGATTGTGACGTAATTGAAGAGAAATTGTACTAGTCTACTTGGCTAGTTCTTTAAATTATGTGACATGTACTATTGTGGAGGCTTAGCTAACAT